AAAATTTCTGGATTGTTTCTATTTTTAATAGCATATCTCAATATGTGTTCATGTCCATGTGTCTTCATTCTACCCTCAAATCGAGTAGATTGAAGAACTGGAGAATGTTAAAATTGGAAAGGACCTTGACTATTATTCAACATAATCCTATCATTTTACAGATGAAGAAACTAGGCCAAGATTGGGTAAATGTGACTTGCCAAAGTTACGCAACCACGAGGAATAAAGCCTAGATTTAAACCAGGTTTTCAAATGGAAATCCAGGAGCTCTTCTGAAAGAAAAATTAAAGGATCGAAAAATAATCAAAGATAATAAAGAAAAAAAAGGAACATTTAACTAAGTTATTGGTAATAGATCTAGAATTATCAGTGTTTCTGAAATAAATTCCAAAAAGCTTTAAAGAATTCCATTTTTCTTGAGATTTATGTTTTTTATACTTTTTGGATAAAAATGTATATATATGGGCTACCAAAATACAAAATATTCTTTTCAAACTATTTTAATTATTTTTTAAGTTATTTAAATTAATAATTTCTAAAAGTAAATAAATTTGTTCTGTTAAAGTAGCCAGGAAAATGCCAATTAGCTAATCACCTGCTTATACATGATTTTTGTTTCATCAAAGTAAAAATAGGAAATATTTTAAAAATAAGTACTCTCTTGCTTTTATTAATGTCATATACCTAGAAGCATCATATTTTTTAAAGAGACCGCATTAAAGCAGAGGCTGTGCTGTGTTTGCTTATGTCTATCAGCATCTACTGGCAGCTATCACAGCACCTGCCTTAAAGAATCTACTCAATAAATATTAACTGAATAAATAAATGAATTAATACTATATTACACTGAATTCTCTATCAGCCTTTGTATATCACACATTATGCCCAATATTTAAATGGCCCAAATCTGAGAGATAACATTATTATTTGAGTGTGTTCAGAACTTTGCCTCACCTTGATTTAAAATCAGTCCATCCTTTCCCAAAGCAGACTCCATGATTAAGGGTCTTCTCTAGACCCACCTGTAATTAAATTCTAAGTGATAGCCAGAACCTGTGCAGAAGTACAATACTGCTTTTCTGCATTTCTTACACCCACCAAAAGGAGGCTTCCTGAGGTGAAGGCCACACCCGGCTCTAGACCCTCCTCCCAGGTCCAAGAGAGGACTAGCCAAAAGTCTCTAGCTCACATCACCAAATGGTTTCTCAATTCTGCAGAACAGCCTGCTAGCAGGCTAACCAAAAGACTCTAGAAATTGTGGAGGGAATTTGTGACCAGGACAACTGCTTGCCAGAACATAAAACCTAGAAGTATACTTCAGGAAGAGAAAAGAGAAAGTCAAAAAATTTTATCAAGGATATTAAGAACATCACTGAGGAAGTTAAAGATGGATACTAAATAAGAAAGCCATTTTTTTTGGTCATGAGGACTTTATTTAAATGTCATGCATATGATGAGCATCGATGCTAAAATTCTCAACAAAATATTAGCAAACCAAATATAGCAATGCATCAAAAATATCATAAACCATGATGAACTGGGATTTATTCTGGGAATGCAAGGTTGGTACCACTTTTGCAAATCAATAAATATCATTCACCACATAAAATGAAGGACAAAAACCACATGATCATATCAATAGATGGAGAAAAAGTGCTTGACAAAACCCAACACCCATTTATGATAAAAACTCACAGCAAAGTGGGAATAGAGGGAACACACCTAAACATAATAAAGGTCATATATGACAAACACACTGCCAGCATCATACTCAACAGGCAAAAACTACAACTGTTTCTCTCAAGACTGGAAAAAGGACAGAGACATCTGCTTTCACCTCTTTTAATCAACATAGTACTGGTAGTCCTAGCCACAGCAATCAACAAGAAAAAGAAATAAAGGCATCTAAATTGGAAAGGAAGAAATAAAATGTCTTTATTTACAGATGACATGATATTCTACATAGAGAGCCCCAAATATTCACCAAGAAACTTCTAGGGCTGATAAACGAATTCAGCAAAGTAGCAGGATACAAAATTAATATCCAGAAAACAGTTACATTTTCATATGCCAATAACAAACTAACAGAATGGGAAATTAAGAAAACAATCATTCACAGTTGCTTCAAACAAATAAAATTCCTAGGAATAAACCTGACCAAAGATGTAGAAGACCTGTACTCAGAAAATTATAAGACACTGAAGAAAGAAACTGAAGAAGATACAAGTAAGTAGAAGCATATACGTGTTCATGGGTAGGAAGAATTAACATTATTAAAATGTCTACATTATCCAAAGCAATTTATAGATTCAATACAATTCCTATCAAGATTCCAATGGTGTATTTCACAGAACTAGAACAAATATTTCAAAAACTTATATGGAACCACAAAAGGCCCTACATTGCAACAGTGATTCTGAGAAAGAACAACAAAGTTGGGGGAATGATGCCACCTAGTATTCAACTGTATTATAAAGCCAGAGTAATCAAAACGGCATGGTACTGGCATAAACAAAAAGGCATAGAGGTCAATGGAACAGAATAGAGAGCCCAGAAATAAACCTACACCTTTATAGTCAATTAATATTCGACAGAGGAAGCAAGCACATACAATAGGCTAAAGATAGTTTATTCAATAAATGGTGTTGGGAAAATTGGACAGAGGCATGCAAGAAAATAAAACTAGACGACCTTCTTACACCACACACAAGAATAAATTCAAAATGGATCAAAGACTTAAATGTTAGACCCCAAACCATAAAAATCCTGTAAGAAAACATAAGCAGCAAAATGTTAGACATTGCTCATAGTAATTTTTTATCGGATATATCTCCCTAGGTAAGGGAAACAATGACAAAGCAATAAACACATGAGACTGCATCAAAATAAAAAGTTTTAGCACAACAAAGGAAAATATCAACAAAATAAAAAGACAACTCATGGATTGGGAGAGTATATTTGCTGATACAGCTGAGAAAGGGTTAACATCAAAAATTTATAAAGACCTTACAAAACTGAACACCAAAAAAACCAACCGAATTAGAAAATGGGCAAAGGACCTGAATAGACACTTCTCCAAAGAGGACATACAGATGGCTAGTAGACATATGAAAAGATGCTCAATGTCACTAATCATCAGAGAAATGCAAATTAAAACTACAATGAGATATCATCTCACACCTGTCAGAATGGCTATCATCAATATATCAACAAACAACAAGTGCTGGCAACGATGTGGAGAAAGGGAAACCCTTTTGCACTGTTGGAATGCAGATTGGTGCAGCCACTGTGGAAAGCAGTATGGAGATACCTCAGAAAATTAAAAATGGATCTGCCTTTTGACCCAGTGATCCCACTTCCAGGGATTTATCCGAAGGAACCCCAAACTCTAATTCAAAAGAACATAAGCACCCCTATGTTCATTGCAGCATTATTTACAATGGCTAAGATATGGCAGCAGCTGGTGTTTATCAGTAGATGAGTGGATCGAACAACTGCAGGACCTTTACACAATGAAATACTACTCGGCCATAAAAAAGAAAATTTTACCCTTTGTGACAGTATGGAAGGATCTGGAGAACATTATGCTAAGTGAAATAAGCCAGTCAGAGAGAGACAAATACCATGAGATTTAGCTCATATGTGGAATTTAATGAACAAACTGAACCTACAAGCAAAATAGAGACAGACTCATAGAGAGCCAGACAACAAGTGAGGGAAGCAGGGGGGCTGAGGGGGTTGGACGGATTGAGCAAAAACGAAAAAGGAGTCATGGACATGGACAACAGTATAGTGATTCCAGGGGGCAGGGGGGATGGGATACAACTAAATGCTAATAGAAAAAAATACAATAAATTTTTTTTAAATGTTACGTGTATAAATAAGTTAACAGCTCATCTTATCTTTTTCATCCATTTTATAGAAATGAGAATAGTGTGTTTTGAAAACTGGTGTTACTTAGGTTTTCCAGTTATTTAAAAAACAACAAATGAAACAGCTACTTCTAATCTAAGCAATGTTACAATAACCCCTAACTTGTCCATTTTAATATGTGCATATTTATGTAACTAACTACAAATGAAATATTACAAATTTGGTCTTTTTTTCAGTTATATGTATAAAAGTGACTTAAAGTATAAAATTAGATGCTCTCTTATTTCCCTAATAAATAACCAAAGCCAAAATATAGAGAAAAATAAAATATTAAGAAATGTTAAATTAATAAAATCAAATATTGAGGAAAATAAAAATAAAAACAAAGGATCAAGAAGCTGTGTTCTTCCTAAACCAGCTTTACCACTGAGTCACCAGTTGATGCTCCATCTGTCTGCACCTGAGAACCCAGGCTAATTACATGATAGAGAAAAACGAGGCAAAAAAACAGCAAATAGTGGTTTCAAAGTCTTACTAACCTCCTTGGAAACTTCACTGAGGCACTTTAAGACCACATGGGCATGTTCTCCCTCTGGGGAGCTCAGCTGCGCCTTTTCCTCCCTCCTCTTTCTCCCCCACAAGCATTCATCTACTAAACTCTAAAGGTCCCCATGAGATTTGCAACCAGGCGAGCAGTGGATAACTGTAGTTCCTTCTGGGCTAACCCCCTTAACCTGTCCCCAAGGACCCTTTCCACTGACTTTCCAGTGAGCTGATAGCAGCCTTGCCTTCGCTTACACCTTTTCCATATCTTTGGCTTGGCTCACACCTTTTCCATATAACATTTCTAGAGAAGCCAACGCAGCCCCGCCTAGTCTCTCTCCCGGGGTTCCTCCTATCCTGGGCCCTTCCTTGTTTCACGGTCCACAGCTTTAATAAATGTACTCTCAGCTTTAGTAAACGTACTCTCAAAATCACCTGGACTTGTATTGTGAAATCTTTCCTGCATGGAGTCCAGAACCCACACATTACCAGATGGCCTAAGGCAGACCGGCTTTGGCCTAGTCCCCAAAGAAAAAATAAGATCATGTGATGCCCTATGTCCCATGTCCACTTCAGAAAGTGACAGTACCTCCAGAAAGGAGGCAGAGAAGGAGGCAAAGGACAAAGGCAGGCCTGGATTGCACAGAAACTGGAAACTCATCAGGATTTGGCCACACCCCAGGAAGGAAAATTTTTGCACTGACTCCAGAAGAAGGAAAATCTTGGTATGTAAATTTTGTACTTTCCTAACAAAATTGAATCAGGGACTAAAAGTAATCTGGGAAATTTTAGGCCCAAATGAAGATTTTTAAGAGATCCTATCAGGGACTGAAGAAATAACAGCTTGATGATGTTATAAATGCAAGCATGTTTCCCGTTGTGAATATTTTCAAAGATACGCATGCAGTCTTATCTGATGGCAAGAAGAAAAAACAACTACAATAGGGTGTAAAAAGAAAAAGAAAAGCAGAATATTCGGTAATAATTTTGTCATAGACATACATTAGATATATATTAGACATTAGATATATAGACATATATTAGATATAATATAAAACAATTAAATAGACTGATCGTTTTATTTGGCATCTTGGTTCTAGATGCAGTTTGGACTTTTCCAGTGCTCTGGGGGATGGAAAGCTGAACCTTCCAGCAAGGTCAAAGAGGTCTGTTTGCTCACTAGGTTAATCCAAGCAGAGTTTATCTTTTCCTGCATACACTGTTTGCATGAAGAAATTACACTTTGACAATTTTCCTCAACCACAGTAATTAAGTATTTCCATTGAGCTAGTAACCTATTTTACCTGAAATTGTGAATATGCTTTTTTATTTTTTCTAAAACATTCTTTACCTTATTTAAAACATTTTTTCTAAATATATCCTTTGAGTCTCTCCTTTTCTATTCTCATTTTTCAAATTTTCCCTTTTCTCAGTATCACTTTTTCTTGTGTCCTTTTCTATGCAGTGGAAGGCTGGGGGGCAAGGGGGGGCGGTGGTCCGGTGTTGGAAATCAGCAGAGAAAGTGTATGATTTTCCAACCAAACCATTTTACAGGCAGGATAGTTAAAAAGGAAATAAGGGATTTAGAGTTGTGAAGAGCTGGCTCATATTTTCAAAGTTAAACTTTTGATATTACCTCACAAGAAGGCTCTACATAGTTCCGTAGATATGCAGCAATATTTACAGAAGACATTTATGTCACAAGTTTGAATCGTGAGATTGCACCTCTTGTCATCTCATATGAACAACCCTTGTTCATACACACACATATACACATGTGAAGTATATATAATTTCTCACAAATAGCAAAATCAAGCTGCATTGGAAACTTTTTCAAAAGCTCATTTGTTAACTGTAAGTGCATAAGGCTCTTATTTTGTGTAATCCTGTTTTGACACTTCATTCTCAGCTCTACCTAAAGCCTCAAGAAAAACAGCAGGAATCCTTTCCAACCCTTTGAGACAAGCTGCTCACAGATTGTAACAAATGTTTTACAATTCTGAACAAGGCTCATGACACAGAATTCTGTATCTCACCTTTCATTCTCTAGCAGCTCTAAACCACTTGTAGTTCTCTAAGCAAGGCAAGCTCTCCCGTGCTCCTGCACGTGTTATTCCTTCTGTCTCAAATATCCTTCTCTACCTTATTTCTCCCTGGGGAGGTAGTCCCTGCAACTCCACCTTCTCTGCGTGCCTTTCTTTTGACTACTCCCTGCTTTCATTCACCTGCAAAGTGCTGAATCAAAATGTAAAAGACAAGCAATATCCAAGAAAATAAAGGAGGAGGAGGAGAGAGCGTTCAACATGAAAAACTATAATGAAGCAAGGGCGGGAAGCAAGAGCGCTGACTGAGAGGAAAATATGCCATTAGAGTGAGTTTAGATTTTTTTCTTTTCTTGAAAGCAATAGGGATATTTTTAACCCTAACCCTAACACTAGGCTATAGACACTGAGTCAGCAAGATGAAAATGCTGCATCAAGGTCAAACAAGGTACCTTGGCAGAATTTTGTGATGGGGGCCAGGAGGAGGGTCAGGGAAAGATTTCCAGGAGGGAGTAACTGCTGGATCAAAATGTGAAAGACAGGTAGCGTCCAAGGAAAAAAAAATAAAGGAAGAGGCATTCAAGATAAAAACTATAATAAAGCAAGGGTAGGAAGCAATAGTGCTGACTGAGAGGTAAATATGCCATTCAAGAGAGTTTATATACTTTTTTCTTGAAGGCAATGGGGATACTTTTAAGCAAAAGAGTGCGATGATCAAATGTATCTTTTAGAAAGTATAGCGATCAGACTGATAACAAGACTGGGGCACTCAGGAGACATTTGTAAAGGAGATAACATATATTCTTACTATGTAAATGAAGAACAGGGAAGAACATTTGAGAGAGATAAATGAGCTGGAATTGAAAGGATTTGGCGATAGATTGGCTGTGGTGCACAACGGACTGAACAGAGTCAAGAGGAGACCCCAGGTTTCTCTGCCTTCTTGCTGGGGTGGATAGTGGAACTTTCATTGAGATCAGGAATATAGGAGGAGGAACAAGAAGTGAATGGTTGTGTTTTGAATCTGTTGAGCAGGAAAGGCCTGTGAAATAGCCACGATGAAAGAGGTAAGTTCATTTCCCTGTGAGTCAACTACCTTGTTGTATTATCTCCTGTTACCAAGCTGGGACTGTCTATCTTCCACTTCTGACTTTGCTCAACAGGAAGGACTATCCAAACTAAAAACCTTCCCTTTGGGGTACCCTCAACCAGCCCATGCTCACCCTGACAAAAAATGTTCCCCATTTTTCCTCTCTCATTAGAGCCCTACTAACTCAGAGGAAATATCCTACAAGAGCTGAAGTCTATCAATCCTTCCAGAGAAAGCAAAAACATGGATTGGAGAAAGAAAGGCTATTTGCCCTCCATTTTAATAACACCCATTTTCAAAGGGACCATTGTTTCAGAAGAAATGAGTACTTTCTAAGGTAAATAAATAGAATGAATAACAATCTTGTTTAAGATTCCAACTTATTAACAGAAAACATGTGTAGACTTAAGAACCAAAAATAAATGTGCCTTTAAAGATGACCTGGAAGGCTTCCTACCTGCCAAGAATAAAGTTCAAGACCTCAGAAAGTCTGTGTTTTCCCAGAAACAGTATATAATATTGCTAATTATGGGAAAAAACATTAAACCATAAGGGATTTCTCCCTCCCACTATAATTTTGGTACTATTAAGGTGAGTTTTGTAATGGTCTGAAATAAGAGAAGTAATATCAAGACTCAACTTGAGTTATGGATATTGAGCCTATGATTTCATCCTTTGGAAGAGTGTTTCCAGTTCCTGCTTTTCTTTCCTGGCATGTATATTTTAGATTAATGCTTCTCATATTTGAATTATACTTTAGTAATCTTGGTTGTGTTGGTATACAAAAATACAAATTCACTTTTAGAGTACTTCCCATCATATATATTTTAGTTCAATTGAGCTTTTCTAATGAAGAGTTTAGTTATTCATTCAATACTTTTAGTTATTCCAAATTAGACGAGGATTTCTGAAGGTTGTTATGAATCCACATGGCAAAGGACCATAACAAGTGGCACACCTGGAGCCAGGTGAGCCTGCCGAAGAGAAATGGATGTTGTCCTCCACATTCACTGACTTGTCGGGTTCTCATATGACAAATAAACAGATGAGTCAGTTTTTCCTTTTTCTAAGGGACTTTACATGATTAGGGTCAGAAACTCCACAAAAAAAACCTCCCCTGATGGTATGCCACAGTGGTTTATTTCAAACATGCTGGCTATTTTCAAACAACTACTGAGAGACTTTGCTTTTCCCTGAACTTGGGAGGCTGGTCCTAGGATGTGCACAGACTCAGCTTGCCATATGAGCAAAAGTGAGATCACACGGGCTGATGCTGGCAGAGTCTCTGAGAGTGTAGTAATTCATGCTCTCAGTTACTATCAGCAGCAATTTGCTTCTGGATTGGCTCCTGTGAGCACTCATGCAAGCATTCTGCACAAAGGACCAAAGTGCAATATTCTCTTGGGTTTCAGGGACTTAGTGCAGTTTCAACACATAATCAAAAGTGCCACGTAGTTTGCCACCTCGTATTTTGTTTTAAAGAGGCAGAGGCTTAAAACTGGATTCCTTTATTCTCTCCAAAAATAGGGAGCTGATGATAGTTCCACAGGCAATTTGGAACTATCTTTAGAGTAATCTGTTGGCACTTCAGCGGACTCTAACCTGTCAGTAAAATGTAGTTGTTGTTTTTAACTAATTAAATGTAATTCCACTGTTTCCACAATATTAATAATAAAGTTGCTTAACCACAAAACTTCTTAGATCCAACTCACATATGTGACCAACTCTTAATTACTATAGAGCAAATACATTGGGAAATGAAAAGTTTCCTTGAATGGGTGTTTTAATAGCACATTTTTCCAAATTGAGTATAATTTCCATAAAGTTCTATGGCAGAGAAGTTTGGATGCTACAGTCCTAAGCTCAAGGTCACATTAAAGAATCTCTGCAAAATAATATACTTTCACTAAATTCCAAGTAACTTTAAAATATCATTAGCACTCTTGCTACCAGTCTATCCACCAGTCCTTTTCTAACGATGGCGCTTTTGTATTTAATTAATACTTACTGTTGAGAAGCTGTGGGATTTGGGGTTATGGAGTAATTCTAATCAGAAGGGGTTCAGGACAAAGGCAAAGACAGTCCTTATGTCTGAGAAATGGCAGTTTGGTCTCACAAAAACTGAGGCATAAAATAAAAACAACAGGCACTTATTCTACATTCTTCTTACTAACGGCAGCATTATCTACTTAAAAGTAGTACAATCATTTTCATAAAACACACATTTATCAATTTGTCACAGGAAATCTCCCCTAGTGTTTAACCTCAGCATCTACACCTGCTTACATATTAAATGCCAATGCTTCCTGCACATTCACTTTTTATATGACAAAGACAAAGCGTCTTTATACAAAATGTCAAGTGTGTTGTCTGTCACTAGTGTTGTAACAATAACCCCATGGGAAAGAGGACCACTGTGGCTGAACTATAATTTATTTTCCTTGCCTAAGACAGAAATATAAGATTTTGATGCTATTTCCTGTAAAATTATTGCCCATTCCCCTTAATCATATTACAATAAATCTGTAAATATAATGTGAGTAAAGATCTCTGGTCCTGAAAGCAAATAAAATGATAGTGAGGGTGGCACAGAGATATAGTTATTAAAAACTGGTTAAACAAGGATACTCCTAGTATTTCTGAATGGCTCAAGAAGCAAAGACTGTTGCTGACAGACATAGATTGTATGATTAAAAAAAAAAAAAACCAACAACAATAAAAGGCACTGGAATAAATTTTGCTGTAAGTCTTCCCTGGATCAATCTGTGCTTACAAATTAAAAATCCATGACTAACTCTTTTCACGGTCTCTCTTCTCTTCACTTAGTCATAAGTCTTTCCAAGATACAGACTGGCTATGGCTGGCTACCTAGGTGGGGTGGGACCTTACTTAAGCTCTAGTTTGCATTGTTAGGCTAGTTTTTGTCTTCAGGTTTTCAGGGAGTTTTTTTTTTTCTTTTTCTGTCTTTTCTTTCTTGTTTGTTTGGGTTGTTTTTATTTATTTATTTATTTTTTGTATGGTTGGGTTTTTTTTTACTGGTATGTATTATGTTTCAAGAGCTTCATTTTCTTTTGTACAGTTTTTGTCCTGGGAAAACCAACATTGTAAAGATTCTATATGGAACTAATTGGAAATTTCCTTAATCAAATCTGTTCTTTAGATTAATGTTTATTTTTAGTTATGACCTAAATCCACCTGCTTGAGTAAAGGAAACATTGAAAATAATCAGCTTGTCTCATACACAAAGGGTTAGAAGAAGAAATCAAAATTTTTAACATAATACAACCAAGAAAGTGAGGGGGACCACTGCTGGCATACTGGGATAAAATTCATTGAACTCAGTTCTCCACTTCAGTTCTCTTTATGAATAATGCTGTTGCAGACAGTTTCGCAGTTCTCATGTGCAGTCAGCCCCCTGCTGCCAGGACACTGCGGGTGTGGCAGCCCACAGCGGCGCCGCCCCCTACACACACACCCTTCATGTCTGAACCGCGCAGCAGAAAGATGGTTTAGGACACCAAGCCTCTAAGCCAGAGTATGCTTTTGTCTTTGGGGAGTTTTCTAAAGGAGATTTTTTTCCAAATTCCTAACATCCATGGTCAAATTAGGACAGCCTTCTCAAATTCAGAGAACATCCTTGGGAGATTTGCCAAATCGAATCCTATTATCCAAATTATAAAGCTGGAGGGATCTTAGGAATCATCAAGTCCAAACCCTTCCTTTACAGATGAGATAGGCAGGCCCTGTGGAAGTTAAGTGGCTCGCTGCTGATCACACAGATTGGGCGAAACCGGACAAGACTCCAGGTTTTTCAGGTCCAAAAAAACAGTTAAGCAAAAGGTTCTATTGTAAATCGAGAACATATTTTTTTTCAATTATTGACTTTAACAGTTTTGTGAATCTATCCAGAGGGGGTAAAAACATAAACTAATGAAACTGTAAATAACAATTAACTATTTAAAAACAACTCAAGCTACAATAGAAGATTTCTCACAAGGCACTATACAAGAAATTTCCCAAACAACTCTATATACAATTTTATCACATACATAATATATTATTTTAGTTGTAAATGTATTTAAGACTTAAGTAATCAAGTCATATTTATGGATAGATGAGTATGACAAAAAAATTTAGAGGCCTTTGCTCCAAGCAATTAAACCTAATTTGCACTTTAAAGACACGAAGACATTAGGTTTGAGGGGATTATGCCGCCCGCCCACCCCAGCAGGGCCTTTGACAAGAAAGGCCCATGAGCAACCCCAGTCAGTTCACCAAGCAGATAACCAATGGTGGATAATAAACTTATTTACCTAGATGATAATTATGTTTAATTTTTAGAATTTAAAAAACAGACACAACTAAGATCAGAAAGTGGTTTGAAATATTTATTTCTCCAATGCCAACTTGCTTAATTGTCTCTCCCAAATTGGAGCTCAAATTTGGGGACTTATTTGAAGATTGTTCATTATCTAAATTACATATAACTTTTTGTTCCCTCAGAGATTTGTACATTTTTAAGACATCCACATTATTTCTCCAAATGAGGTGGACGAGATAGGATCACTCATAGTTATACTAAGGAGATGCATATGATTGTAGGCAATGAAGTCATGGCTGGAGAGGGATCAAGTGAAATCAACAGAAGAGGAATTTCCTGACCTGTGTTCCTTTGAAGACTCAAGTAGGAAAAACTCCACACATTCCTGCCAGTTCATTTTTTAACAATTCTGGTGCTGCTCAGGGCTCATACTATCTTGTGAGATTAGCCCTGAGACCATGATGACATAGGCTATTAGGTTCCAGGGGTAAGTTTAAACGGCAACATATCAATATTAGGTCACAATCTTGCCCTAATTAAATGGATGCCTCCTTGGGGTTTCAGTAACCAACTCCACAAGCTGGAAAGTCAACCCAGGGAGTGTGTAAGCAATGTGTCAGTAATAAGTAAGTGGAAACGAAGACTTAATTTTAGAAGTCTCTGATGACCAATATGATACAAAATACATTTAATGATACTTTTCTCATGTGTTAAAATATCAAAAGACTCCTCCTCAGGTTAGTAAACAGCTGCTGCTCTCAGCCATTCCATGTCTCCTCCCACATCCTTCAGTGAAGCCTCTCCCATTACCTGAACAGGTAATGCCTGGCACAACAAGGCCCACTGCAAACTCTGGGGTACAAATTGTCAGATATTTTGAATATTACCACTGGGTAAAAAAGCAAGTTTCAGAAACTATGTGGAGACCAAAGAGGAGCTAGGATTGAACAATAAAAATCCTATGAGGGTCTGACCCAG